ATATGATAAAATAAATAAATTTGTCATTCCTGAAAACAAGTACACAATGTCCAGAGACTAATTCTACATAACATTACAAAAGAGATAACAGTAACATGCCTCGGATCAGCCCAGAATGATGTTTTATCCAGCTCGGGAACAATAAGAGTGACATTAAGGTATCTTGCGATGGCTACCATGTCACATATCTGCAGAAAGCACAAATGATTAGGTTGAATTCAGCCATTAAAGTACCTCACGAGGATGCACGTAATATCATGAGAACCAATTATAGGTGCATCAACTGAAAACACAGCTAAATACTCACTGCTGATCTCATTTGATTAAGTCCTCCATTACACGAAACCATCAGGTAACCATTGTTCTTATAAACTCCTGGAAACAACATAGCACTAATCATATTAATTAACTGATTAAGAAACAGAAAGAGCGTATTTAGTCTAATAAAAAAGGAGCAAAACTAAATGTTTCAATCATAGAAGCAAAGGGTACCCCCACAATAAAGATAGCAACATGGATGCCAGAAATAGCAAGGACATAGTACCTATATAGATAAATTCTTGAAAGAAATAATTCAATTTAGGAGAAAATAGAACATCTGAAAGAAACAGTGTCCTTACAATAATTCTATATTTTCCATTAAAACTTGTGATTGTTCATCAAAGTAGAAAATCCACCAAACTCAGCTAATAATGAAAGGCATCATCATATATGTTATGACTACATCACATTTCAACATGGAAATAAGACTAAACCCAATATACAGAATATGTGATATCAAACAATTTTCCATAGTTAGCTAATTCAAAAGGTGTGACACATACAACACTTTCAAGTCATCAAATTAAGCATCAAATCGAGCTCGAACAATCACCAACAACCACTGCAATCTATATATGATTAACTTGCATAAAAAAGTTGATACAAATCATACAATACACAATTTTTTTGAAGCAATAAAGATTGATGGAAATGGATAGCTAGAAAAACTCACTTTTGGGAGGAAGAACACGAGGTGGGACTGAAACAGAAGAAGGCAACTTAAGATAAGCAGATTCCTGAGTAAAACAAGAGGGCCAACCCTTCAAGACTCTAGGCCCCCAAACCTCCCCAAAAGTAGTCAAATTGACAATACAAGTCCATAACAAAACTGATGATGTAGCTCTAACCATCCATACCTTCATCTTCGACCTCGAACCGCCATTTGAGGCCGAAGAACTCTTGGATTTCTCCTTCTTCTCATCACTAACTACAATTTTAACCCCCATACCAATCCCAATCCCCCACCACCTTCTTCTCCTGCTTTCTCTCTCCTCACTATTACTACTCCTCTCAACCTTACACATATTCCTCCTCCTTTCCTCTCATCCCAACCTCACAACATCCAATGCAACCAACAATTCCCTAAAAATACCTTCAGTTTTCCTAATCAATGCTGCATAATACAATTGCAATCACTTTGCCCAAATTGAATCAATCTATAACATCAAAGATCCGAGTAAAAAAAAACCCCAATATCAAAAAAATTCAACCAACCCCAGAAAAATAACCCACCAAATCAAAATACAAAACTTACCCAGAACAAACCTATACCCAAATAATCAAAATCCAAAACACCCAGAATTTCAAAATTGCAGGAGAAATTATAAACACATTATCAATAACCGGGGAAACCCCACCAAAATCAGAGATCTTGGAACCCTAAAAAAGAAAAAAACGAAGACCCAAATTGGATCTTTACAAATGTAGACGACCGGATCCGAGATAAAAGGAAGAGGGGGTAAGAATCAACGATGGTGGCGGGTGTCGGTGGCAGAAAAATGCAGGATGAGGAGAGAGAAAACGGGGTACAAAATAAAAATGGTTAGAAAGATGGGAAAATGATGAAGAAGGAAGGAAGAAGAAGAAGAATGTGAAAGAAGAGAAGGAGAGAAAAATGAGGGGAGAAAGAGAGAGTAGAGTTTCTCCTCAAAATTTGGTTGATTTTGATTTTCTCTCTCCTCCTGAAGCGCGGTGGAATTTCACGAGCCGACATTCGGTGTCAAAAATTTCTCATTTTTTCACCAGCAAATTTTTGATTGATTTCTACGAACTATTATTAATAGAGTTTACTTTTGAGGGGAAAATTTTTTGCACTCGTTGTTGGTAATTGTGGATTTATGGGGATTTTTGGCAATTGTGCTGTACTAGTTGTACACGGAGTATCAATTTAGGTGTGGAGGTTATTTTTTCTGAGTTTTACTAAATCTCGTTTATATTTGTTTATTTCTGCTAATGAGTTGGATTGGAATTAGTTTTAAATTACGTTTCGATTGTTAGTGTATGTTGTTAAATAATTGAATTATTTATGTTCATTAACAAACACCTTTATTTTCTTTGTTCATTGAAGTCTTGTTGGTACAAGTTTTTCTTTTTGCAAAGAAATGAAGGGTAGAATATGCCAATATGCCATAAATATAATCATTATCAATTTAATATGTACAAACTTTTAAATTATTTTATAACCAAAAAATGAGTATTTATATACTCCCTCCGCCCGGAGTTATCTACACCAAAGGACATAATTGCGGACTCTTAGGCAAAACTTCTTAAACAAGATTATTGAAAAGTAAGAGGAGAGAGAATGGATAATTAAACTAAACTAAAATAAAACACACAATTAAACATTGGAGAACAACCACCCCACGAATCATCGCACCACCCCACCAACCACCGCACCACCCCACAAATCACTAACACCCAACCCACGAAGCACCGCACCACCCCACGAACCACCGAAACCACCACCAAAACCCACCACCCCACAAACCAAACCACTGAAACCGCCACCCCACGAACCACCAACACCCAACCCCACTTACGCAACCCCCCGAAACCACCAGCAAAACCCACCAAACACATCACCAAACCCACGAAACCCAGCTCTGGAGAATTGCGCGACGACGAATTGCGGTGGTGCTGGGGTAAGGTGGAGGAGAATTGCGATGGTGTTGGGGTAAGGTGGCAGGGATAAGGTGGTGGAGAATTGCGCAACGAATTGCGGTGGTGCTGGGGTAAGGTGACTGGGGTAAGATGGTGGAGAATTGCGCGACGAATTGCGGTGGTGCTGGTGCTCTGGGCTCGTCTGGGCTGGTGGTAGGGGCGGCGAAGGTGGCTGGGGTAAGGTGGTGGATTAGTTGGTAAGTTCAATGTAATTAACAAATTGTAAACAAAGTTAAAAATTTTAAGTAAGGGTAAAGTTGACATTTTACTGTTAAAAATTTACCAAAAGGGGAAATAAAAAAATTGTTACAGATAATAGAAAGCACCTATTTTTAGTAAATGTTGCAGATAATAACGGGCAGAGGAAGTAGTTTATAATTTCCATTGTAGTTGCCTACATTTGCCCCTTGTATAGTTAGAAAAGCCTTGATTATAATATAATTGATTCAATTCATAAAGTTGGATATTTGCACATTTACATGTATCCTACATAAGTAAAAAAAAAATGGCCTTATAAATTATAATATTCAGGGTTTGTTAGTTTCAACATAGCCCTATTTAATTGCTATGTGTTTATATACAATTATACTAAACAACATTAAGTTTATAATTATAATTCTCATCATAATTACAAAACTTTCAATTATGCTACTCTAGACCTGGCAAATGGGTCGTTCGGGTTCAGTCAATTTTGGGTCGGGTTATTTCAGGTCAGTTAACATTCGGGTCGGGTATGGCTCGGGTCAGGTATCGGGTCGAGTTCGGGTTGGGTCGATTTTGGGTCGGGTCATTTTTGGGTCAAGTATGTTCAGGTCATATTCGAGTCGAGTCAAAATCAGGTCGGGTCATGTTCGGGTTTTCCATTTAATTTGTGGATCTAGCTCAAATCAATAATTTTATATTTTATAATTATTATAATAAGAACTATCAATTCAGTTTATGAGTGTGGCTACAGTTGAAGATGAACAATTTAAATTATTTTTGGCACTAGACATTTTTAGTTCAATTATAAGGTAATTTTAGTTCGGGACATTTCGAGTATTGGGTGTGTTCGGGTCAATTTTGAGTATTGGGTTTGTTCGGGTCAACTCTATTTTCGGGTCGGCTATGGGTCAGGTCGGATCGGGTCAATTTTGGGTTTCGGGTCGTTGTATTTGGTTCATTTTCGGGTCATGGGTCGGGTCATTCGGGTCGGGTCATCGAGGCTGGGTCAAGATTGCCAGGTCTATGCTACTCCCTTCATCCCAATTTTATTTGCCCATTATAGCCCTATTTTCTTAAACTAAATAGAGCTAAAATCATTTTTTTGTTTAAAAAAAAATACTTATATGAGTAAGTTAAACTAAAAGTGAATTGAATTATGAAGTACTCATAATTCATAATCCATTGATCCTTTTACCCTTGTGAGTTAGGAGAGGGAATTGCTTTTGACAAAGTAAATAATATCAATTTAGCTTAACCAAATATGAAATCGAGTATTTTGATAAAAATAGAATAAGTAATTGTTAAAAGATCTTCTTTTCAAAAAACAAAAAAAGGACTTAGGTCCCCCGCCGCCGCCGCCCCCCAGGGGGTTCCAAAGGGAAGAAATGCACAAATATTGTAGAGAATGATGGGAACATTACAGATTTCAGTAAGCCACGCATCACAACAACCCTAACTCTAATTTGAAGACCTTTTTCAATTACGAAGTATTTAATTTAACTAATTGCTTCAGTACACGGCTGCTGCTGATGATTATAAACTTGTATTAACATCGTTTTTAATTGCTATGTTCAGGACATAACTCAATGTTGTTTCCGCCGAAAATTAGTTGTCAATTTATCCCAACCTTTCATAATTAAGGACACGACACAATTTTACAAGACTCTTTACAAATCACAATAGCTGATTATTTCCACATTATTATGAAATTTAACAAGTGATACAGTTGCCAGTTGCCACCATTAGTAATTAAGGAATGGTGTCAATTTTATATAGTAGACGTGATTACTGATTCCAGAAGGAGAGCATATATATTTCGGATGTAGTCATGTAGTCCCTAAATTTAAATGCCACAATAAAATTGATAAAGAAGTTACACTACTTTTATAACAGCATCAGCAACCTAACAACATAGTCTATTTACAAGAAAATAACATGTACCCAAAAAGTTCCACAACAAAGCATCAAAGGAATAGAGGTGCCTATGGACCAGAACCAAAAAGGAAATATACCTACTCATTAATATGAAAAAGAAAAGGAAAAATAGACACCCCACAGATGGAGCTCTATGAACCTTGTACAAGGAACAATTAGATCCTATACACCCAGAAAATACAGAGAGAAGACATCAGAAACATCAACGGTAAAAAAGAACTTATATTACTGTAAGAATGAAAAGTAATGGAGGCAGGAAAAATAAGAATTTCACAGAAAAAATTGCTTCTGACATAACTTTGGAGTTCCCCTCTTTGTTGCCAATCCAAGTAGCCATCTTTTCTAAGAAAGGAATCCCCTCTCAGGCTTTTTAACGCCATTGCAAAGTAACTATCACTTTTTAGAATCTTTGGCACATTCATCTTCCTGTATAAGAGTTGCATCATTATACAACAGTCAAAAACACAGTTTCTGAGCCTATTGTGGATAAGTTAATCAGTTCTGTAATGATCCAACCGCAATACTAATAACAGGCAAAAAAAGGAACCTATATTTGGCAACCATAAAATGTCAATAACCAGGGTTTTCCCAATATTGATGTAACTAACATAAGTGGATAACAAGCATGTTCATCAGCCAATATACTGCATTTGTGCACCAAAGTTTCTAGTAGTTTAGTGATACTTTATATTCAAACTGTCAAACTCAAAATTTATACTAATGTTCAGAATATTTACAATAAACATGACATGGAGTAATATAAAAGTTATTAAGGATTAAAAATAAAATAAAATTAAGTAATATGTACTTACTGAACTGTCACCAATCTTGTCAAAGTCATCATCAAAGCCATCATCATCTCCAACATCTGTTAATCATATTTACAAGAAATGAAAGATTCAGACCATATTTCGAACACAAATTTTGATAGGATGGGACATTAGGAATTAAGTCTCCATATTATGGCAGCAAATTAAATCCTTTAGCAAGTTATCTGAAGGCCACATGGCTATAAGCTCAATGAATTTCATAAAAGGTGAAAGCAATAAATGAACAATCATAAAAATAATGTCATAAACCCTGCAAAAGACATTTGAATTCTGCACACTATGATCACTTCTTAACAAGAGGACGGATTGATGGAAGCCCAAGCTACTTCTAAGGGAACTCACCTTAACAATCAATTCAAATTTCTAACAAAGTTACAATTCTCCTTATCATTGATACTTTGACACAGAGAAAATAACTGGTTCTGTCTAGGTTTCACTAAATGACAACCAATGCAATACATAAGGTTGCCACAAAATGAAAGCACTCATAATGTCGAAGCCTAATTATGATACAGGAAAAGAAAATAAAGCAATGCATCAGTACAATATTTGCATGTCAAGTCGTCAAGACAACCATGTACTAGATGTCTAGATTTAAACAGTCACAAACATTTGATGGATATCAAGACTCCAAGACTTAAAAAAATGGAATGATGTAGTTAGCATTACTAAACAAAACCATTTTCAATTTATTTTTATTTTGGCTTGTGTGTGTGTTGTGAAGAGGGGGATGCAAAGCTGTTTGTTCGGAATTCTTATTTTGGTTAAAGGGATGATACTACTGGTTTGGTTATCAGATGCCCTTATATTGTAATGGACCTACTTTCTAGCATGTTGTTCAGCACCTAAGCTTTTCCAGGTTATGTTTTATGAGCACAACGACGATTATTGTAGATATTCACTGAAGCTTCCCAGTGATTCTCTCGAAAGAACATAACCTTTAGCCATTTGGAATCAGTATCCCTCTCTCTCTCCTCTGCTCTTCCTCTTTTTCCTGTTCTTCACCAATTTCAAAATTATTTCTTCCTTTCTCTAATCTCTCACCACCCTTTTTCAGTCTATCACCCTATCTATGTTCCAATATTATGTACAGAAAATTGCTAGCAACAAGTAAAAATTTTCAGATGTATCTCTGACAAGAGGAACAAATATCAGAAACTATTTTCATAAACCATGATAGATGTTACTGTAGAATCTAATAATTTTTTTTTGACATAATGATGAGCCAGGTAAACACAAGTTCTCTACGCCTCTACGAATGGTCATTAGCAGCTCTAATAAGATATTTGTTTTAAGATATATGTACAACATAACTATATCTTAAGAAGCTCTTAATCATCCTCAAGTCACTGGAGCTTGTATCTTATAAACTCATGAAAGAAATGATATTTCAGTAACTAGGCAGATTAGACTATCTTAGTCCCTTCCTACTTCCTAGAATAAATTAGCAAGTTAGTACATCTGCAGATTTGTCCTCCTATTTGTCACCACTTTTGTCAATACGATATGCCTGTAGGCTTATCTTATCTCACCTCACCTATCTCAGAATAATTTAGTTGCAGGTTTCTTAACCAGCACAGTACATGCATGCAATAGATGCAAGCAGCAGACCAATAAAGAAGTATTCATATGAAAATACGTAGTAATAATGAGATGTGGCAGAGGTAATACGTTTTTCCAAAATATCTAAACAGAGGTAATATGCAAGAGTACCTGGTCCATCATCGCTATCTCCAAGGTCTCCCAGAAGAAAGACATCTAAATCTTGCTCTGCCGATGACGTTGATGTCTTGAGTGGCCGTGTGGGTTCTGCTACATCTGTTTTAGACTCAGCAACACTTGCAACAATTTCCTTTTCTTTCTCTGCTTCAGCTTTCTCTTGTTCTGCAGCTTTTAATTTTACCTCCTCATCATATCTTTTCTCATACCTGATTATAGCAAAACATAGATTGGGGCTGCTGGGTTAGAAGAGGCAACTAAAGAGCATTGAAACCAGAAAATGATGCTAAATATTGTATAGCAATTCTATAAGAACAATTCAAGTTAAATAGGGAACACACATACATTTTACTGATTTTAATGTCAATTTGAAGCCAAAGACTATATACTTCCTCCGTTTCTATTTAGTTGACACGTTCAATTTAGGCACACATATTAAGGAGAGGAGAGAGAGAATGATAAAGCAAGTGGGGTACACTTAAAAAACAAGGTATAAAGCTTACCCAAAAAGGAAACGTGTCAACTAAAAAAAACTTCCTAAAAAGGAATACGTGTCAACTAAAAAAAAAACGGAGGTAAGTATATATCAAGCATTTTTATCATGTGTAATTTAGTGCTTCTAATGCTCACATTTCACTGTCTATATTAAGCACAGAAAAAGAGGGTAGCAATAAATCAGTGCAAGGAAATTGTGCTCCATATGAGAAACAAATCAAGGCTCGGGTCAATGCCTCCACATCTCTACTTGGAGACTCATGGGAGCAGTGCCATAGAATGCTATGAATCGATATTAGAAGGGGGTGGGGGGGGATTAGGAGTATCATAATATATAAAGGGTAATAATCCTGTAGGAGAAGTCACTTAGTTAGTACCGGGAAAGCTCTATAAATAGAGCTAATTAGAGAGAGGAATCGTGTTGAACATTGTGATGATTGATTAGTTTTTAGCTTTGGGAGAGTGCCATTCCTATTGATTCATAGCATTCTCTGGCACTGCTTGGACTACTAATCCTTGTCAATTCTTGTTGCATACATTTATTCTCAAGCATCAATGGGTACAACAACGAGTTTCCTCTTCACTGGCCATCATCACACTAGATTCAGCATGGCTTACGGCTTAACAACTGAAAAACCCTAACTTCTCTTCAATGTGCAAATTGTTTCCCTGGCATTTCAGACCAAGGGAAACAGCAACAGGATTTATCAAGTTTATGGGTGACACTCCCTGGACCCTTGGTTTCTTCATTACTTGTCAAAAAAAATTAATTTTTCTAAAGAAATCCTGACACATCTAACACCATTTTTTCAGCAAAAGGCCACCTCAAATCAACTAAACATGACAAACTATGAGTCTCCTTGTTACATAAGTTAGCCTCAACTGTATCACAAATCACAAAATTTGAATGACATGGTCTCACACTAACTTAGTGTGATGCAGCCGGACACTTAGAAAGCATACCGGCAGTCACACCCATTCCACACATATAAGAATCATCCAAGAGCAAAGAAATTATGCAACAATGCTATATTTATAAACAGGTACAAGCATACAACAGGCAATAGAGAAACGCAGGGTATTTCTATAGTTTACCTACGCTCTTCTTTATATACGTTTGGAATTATACACTATTCTCAAACACACTCCTTTGATCGTCATTTGTGACTTATATGTTAAAAAAAAATATAATATGGAATTTAGTTAGATTTTTTATTTGTCAAAATATATACTTTCAAAAAATAACTTTATATAATATTTACAACATAATTACAGATATCAATGCTATGAGATGTGTATTAGCAAGCGTATAACTCCCAATGTTGCGATTAAAAAAGAACGAAAGAAGTATATTATAATTTTATAAATAAATACTCACGGAGATATATGGCTGTTGACAAGCATGAAATAGATTCTCCAGAACTTCCTCTCTTTCATGACACGGGGGCAAAGCTCATACCGTAGCTTAGAGATTTCCTGTCAGAAAAAGGTTATAGTCAGCGATGATAAATGACATAGCCACTAACATGCGTACCACATTTTTAATGCAGGCAATGTCACAAAAGGAGAAATTAGTGATTTGAGAAATATGGTGTTAAACAATGCGTTTGAATGTTACTCCCAATTCACTAAGGAAGCAAGATGGAGAATGATGGATATGGAAGCTGCCAAAATTCTTAGAATCTAACTCCATTCACCTAGAAAGAGATTTAGAGATATCTAACTTTGTCTTTTTCCCCATTTTATTTTCCCTTTTCCCTTCGATTGTCAATCACACATCAAGTGAAGCACAAAGGATAGAAGTCAATCAGCCATCAAGTAATTTGATATCAGAATTAAACATCACGTATCAAGACAAAAAAAAAGAAATAAAACCTTTACTGTCGACAACATAAGAGTGGCATGTTTAGCCTGCCACTCTGTAAGATCCTGCCGCACATTTGAGACTGTTGGAACATCAGACACTGGAGCATCATCTGGCAAAAATGCAATATGTCATATTAGCACATACCCATACATTGAGGGCTCCATCAATAAGACAATTCAAGATGTAGCAAATCAATTGCTTTCTCATTCTAAGCAAACTTCTAGCTTTCTCCTCAATTGCTTGCCTCTCAGAGAAAGGACCAATTTGGGTGTGGGATAAGTCGTAACAACTAACAAGTGACGTGGAAAAATAAATTTCCACTAAAATGGAACCAAACAGTGCTTACTAAGTTACTAGTACTACAGAGACCAGAAGCAACTGCAACATTTAGCATTGAGCTCGAAGATGCAAAAGAATGCAAGAGACGCTCTAAAAGAGCACTAAACATCAATGTCAAAGCATTAGGCTGAAAACACAGAAGCTCCCTAGCCAAATAGCCAAATACTCATACAGAGATCTATTACATAATACTCCCTCAGTGGCTCAGTCCCACACAAAATTTGGTATTGCTATCGTGGGACATCCCTGTAAAGTAATATCAATGGTGAAAGATTTTCTGTAACTTTACTTTCCTTCACATATGTCTTTTTTCCTGCTATCATTATACTCAACTTTTTCTTAGCATTTTTATCTCTCTTATAATTATATTTGCATTTTAAAAATTTACTCTTTAACTTTGTGCCAGAGTCAAAATACGAACTTTACTGTAGGATTGGGGGAACTACATAAGTATATAAACATACTTGGATAAAACAATCAAATTTAAACAACCATTCGATATACTCTGTATATATCCCAAAACAGATGCACCCAACAACTTGCTAAACTTTATTATTCATATTTAGGTCATAATTAAAAAAAAAAAAAAAATGAAGATATACTATAATTTAAATCAGGTGACATTGCAGATAAATCAATGCCAGTTCAAAACTAAACCTCACTCTCACAATAATACAATATAAACTTTATTTTCTGTGCAACAAATTAAGTTAATATTTCCATAAATTTCCTTACTCTCTTGGTCCTATTTCACAGAACTCTTCTGCTAATCCTTTTTTCCCAACCCATCACAGTGACCCTTCATTTATTTCATCAGCAGTCAGGTTTACACATAATCTCAGCCTTTCCCAACCTATTATGAACTTTCAAATCCGCATAAGCAGATTCTTCCCTCTGCTCTTCCACAGTTCCACCAGCACCATACAACTCAAGCTCTAAAATACACAGTACACTCTTGAGATTCAGCTTTTTCCTAGATCTTTAACGGGCTCCCCCATAATTTTATAGTTTTATCCATTCTGGGGAGACATATCCACATGCCCACTGATGCAGCACATCATACACGTGTAGCTCTTAAGTAACTCCCTCTTGGACTCCTTCCTAACACAAGAAGACAGCAACAACATACTTTGTATAATCCATTCTCACTTAGAAAAACATCACCATTACAGTCTTGAGGTTTTTACAATTTCTTATAAAAACCAATCCTATTTTAATCCAACCAAATAACCGCTAAATTTGTAAATGAATCTTAATGGCCGTATTTATGATAATAAGTAAAAACCATTCAAATTTTGATGATTGGTTAGTTGAAACTGATAATGTCCTTACTTAAACAATCTTTCTTGTCACATGATTTTTAAATAATCAAATCCTGGAAAGCAAATAGTAGTTTTTCAATAAATCTCACTTAATAACGCCAAAGCACTATGGTTAATTTGTACAACCTCAGCATTATCAGCATACTAAATATACAAATTGCTATTCTTATAATTCTAAGGTTAGTCTCTTAAGTCGCGCAATCAAGAGGCAATTGCATAGTGTGGCCGAATGAATCACCAAATCAAGTCTCCCTTGAATCGTACAGTTCCTCATGTCCCCCAATACCAATTTACATCAGAAAAACTCAAGCTTTCAAACTCACATAGAGTAAACCATTAGATTACATCACCAACTACACCAAAACTCCACATTATACTAAATCCAGCACTAAACCAACATATTCAGCAAAAGATGTACCCAACACATTAGCACATGTTTTGAATGAGGCTTTAATGACAGTCTTATGGTTAGAGATATTGAACAACCAATATTTGATGAATGGGAAGATGAAGTTCGTACTAAAACTTCCTTGACATGTGAAAACAAACAACAGTTTTTTAATGAACCTCACTTGATAATGAGACTAACTCGGTCAGTGGACTGTAGTTAATATACAGACTCAACATCATCATCTTCAATTCAATATACTAATGATACAAATCGCTACTCTTCAGATTCTAGAGCTATTTTACTTAGGCTAAGGTATCACAACACTACATTAAGAATGACAAAAGCCTAAGGTAAACAACGAAGATTTTCCATTAAACCCCCTCCCCCTCCTTCCCTTATGCCAAATTTAAAATGAATTTAATTCGAATGGCAGAAAAAATGCACCCATGCTTAGATACATCATCCCCAATGCATTGCATGAGAATCATATAATCTCCTTTCTTCCTTTAAAATATATCCATCATGTAAATACACTCTTCACATGCATTGTATTCCATGTTTTATTATGTTCTTCCCTTCCCCTCTTCCCCATTCCAAAAAGAACAAAATGGTGGTCACCAATATGTGGTGATTGCATAGTATTGTCAACTGATACACCAAATCGAGCCTCCCAATCTCCCTTGAGTTGTGCACTTCCCCATGTCCTCCATTACCAACTTGCATTAGGAAAGCTCAAACTTCTAAACTCACATCAAATTAAACAATAGATTTCATCCTCAATTACACCAAAACCCCCCCACATTGTACTAAATCCAGCACGAAACTGGCACATTCAGCAAAAAATTGTACCCATTAACACATTAGCATACAGATAAATAAGCCTTGAAATTCATGCATGAACAATCATTACAAAACCCTTTTCTCTCACTCCGTTCCCTGTAATTCCACTTTTATCATTTGATTTTCCTTCTCTAACAAGAAAAGAGTATAAGTGTAGCCAAAGAAAGTTCCAAATCAAGCTTCCAAAAGTTACATCAAAACCTTCAAAATCACCAATCAATTTAAGATCCAAAACAAACCCATTTCGCACAAATCCAAGAAAAACAAAACCCACATTTCAAAAAAAATCCAAAAACACAAAAACCCCAGGAAAAAAAAAAAATTCAGAAAAATTCATACCAGGAAGTGGGAAATCCTGGAAAGTATTGAGAGTAATCTCCTTAACAAATTCCCTCAATTCATCGGTAATCCCAAACTTCTCAAGCTCTTCAGGCGAAACCTCCTGTTTCTGAAAAGAATCAGCAAGGGGATTAGAAGGGTCAAGGAGAGAGAGAGACTTGATCTGATCAGCGCGTTTGAGGGCTTCGGCCTTGATGTGATTGGAGGCTTCAGCAGCCAACTCTTTAGAGCGTTTAGCGGTTTCGGAGACAATGTCGGCGATCCGAGAGGTGCCACCAATGGTGGAAGTGAGTTCTTGAGATCGTTTAGCAGCTTCAATGGTTAGTTCTTGGGATCTTTTAGCAGCTTCTTCTGCGAAACTCCTTGCTTTGCTCCAGAAATCCATTTTGGTGGGGTGCAATGTGGGTTAAAGCGAGTGTGATACGAAATGAAATGAAATGAAAATTCTGGGAATTATGAGGTTGGATTTTGTAGGAGTTGGGTTGAAGGAAAGAGGGGAAGACTGGATTGATTGGGATTGACCGTTTCAGAACCTGGGTCATGTGTGACACTCAACCTGTGGCGTGGGCGTGGAAGGGAATGAGATTGAACCATACGGAGTATTATAGTATTATACGTATTATAGTAGATCCGATTTGAAATCCAAAGTACGAGTAACCCAATTTTTAAATAAATAAAACATGATTGAACATTGCTTAAGTTATGGTTGACATCCAAGAATATGTTTTATACCCCATCAGATGCAAACAACTTAATCGTCACACCTAAAGGTGTCAAAACCTCGCATGGACATAATAATTTAGTGTGACTCAAGTTTGAAATAAATCTGACCTAACCCAAAAAAATAAAAATAAAAAAAAAACCTCAAGTCAGATTTCGACTCGCATGAACAAAATAATTTAGCATGACTCAAATTTGAAATAGATCTGACCCGACCTCACCGAACCCAACCCAGACATCTGAATTGACACCTCTAGCTACACCTAATATCGAACCAAACAATTTAATAGCCACACCTCCTCTACTTACAAAGTCCAAAGTCATTGCCTCTCAATTTTTCTCCTACGTCCCAAAATGTTCTAGAAGATATGAACAAAAAAAAGTTGTCATTGTTGGTGTGGCTATTTGGGGTGAACAAATCGAGTACTCTATCAAAATTTTAGATATTCGATTTAAAATTGGTTGGTCTGATTCCAAAAATTCGGAATCGGAATTGGAATTAGTCAAACAAACTCTTAAATTTTTGCGTCTGAACTTGGAACCATCTATCTCTATCAGGTATTAGTGCGTTAAAAGTAATGGAGAGAGTATGTAACCTAGCTTTTTTTAAGGTAGGAAAATTTTTTATGCAAACTGTTAAAAAATTTATTATGACATGTAATAAATTTTTGGATGATGTGGTATTTTATATTGAAAAGGTAAAAAGGTATTTATTGAGACGAAAATTTGAGAAAATATTGGAGTATTTTAAATAAAAAAGGTATAAACAAAATTAAAAATAAAAATTACTATGATATTATACCCGAGTTAAAGTTACTCTAAAAGTTTTGAAAGTTACCATATTATATTAAAAAATTTACCATTTTCCTAACATAAATTTGACCCTTAAAAAACACTTGTAAAATATTAGCCTTCATAGTATCTTTTGACTTTTACCACAAAAAAAAATGCGAAATTGATTTTTACCACCAAAACTTCTAAAACTTTTATTCTACCATCAAAAAAATTCTAAAAACTGTTTTTTACCACCTACCATCAAGAAAACCGTTAAATCTAATGGTTTTATAACAAAATTCTAAAAAACAACTTCTATATTTTTTTTTTTGTGCGCAAAACATGTTCTTTATGAGTTTAGGGGGGCATTTTGATCATTAGGATCCAATTTGAGGTCAGAATTGACAAAAAAATGATAAAAAATGCTTCGTTTTGCGTGTTTCACGCAAATTGAGGCATTATTTAGTAGTAAAAACGAGCCATATGCAATCATTTTTTTGTTCTGACCTCAAATTGGATCCATAGGGCCAAAATGCCCCCCAAAACCCCTAAAGAGCATGTTGTTGGCACGAAAATTGAAGAATTTAAAAAATTCCGTTAAGTTTACCGGGTTTTTTTACAGCAGGTAGTAAAAAAACAATTTTAAAATTCTTTTTTGTGGTAAATTAAAAGTTTTAGAACTTTTGGCGGTAAAAAACATTAGGATATTCTATTTGGTGGCCTCGTGGTTTAAAAATTCTACATGAAAGACGATTTTTTTTTGGACTCTCTTCAGTGGCACCAAGGTTTAGAATAATTGACCATAATGACCTTTTTTAGGTTTATGGTTAAAATGGTCAATCTTTGAAGAAGAAAAAAAAAAGACAAAAAAAAAAAAAAAAAAACCCAAAATTCAGCCACCACCAACCCAGCCCCAGCAGCCCTCCCCTTCTGGCGTCCACCAGCCACCTCTCCCCCACCCCTACCGACGCCAGCGCCCAGCTCCACCTTCGCCGGTGCGCCGGCCTTCGACCCCCCACCTCCGCCTCCTCTCTTTCTCCCAATCTCGAACCCCCACCACCCCCCATTTCCCTCACCGCCCCACTATCGACCTCGACCCCACCCCAAACCACCCCGAAAACCGGCGTACCTCCTTGTCGACCCCCCTCCCTAGTTCGCCGACCCAAACACCCTTAAATCCACCCCAAAATACCCGAAAATACCCAAACCTGTTTAGGGTTTGGAAACCAAACCCAGGAAACGGGTCTTGGTTTTCTAGTGGTTTTGGGTGGGTTTTAGGGTTTCCGTGGTCGGCTCATTGAGGAGGGGGTTCGTCGGGGAAGGGCGCTGGTTTTCGTGGTGGTTTGGGGTGCGATTAGGGCCCGGCGGGCGGCAGTGGGGGAAATGGGAAAGAGATGAGGTACGGGGCAGGCAGCGGTGGGGGAAATGGGAAATGGGAAGGAAAGGAGGTGCGATGTGTCGCCGATCGAAGGTGGAGAGGCTAGGTGTCGCCGGCTGAGGGTTGGCCGCCGGCAGTGGTGGCTGGGTTGGTGATTAGGGGTTTTTATTTTATTTTATTGTTTATAAAATAATTTTTTAATAAAAAAATCAAAGGTGGTTAGCCATTTTAACCATAAAGCTAAGGTTAGCCATAAACCTAAAAAAGGTCACTATGGTCAATTATTCTAAACCTTGGTGTCACTGAAGAGAGTCCAAAAAAAGTTCGTCTTCCATGTAGAATTTTTAAAACCACGAGGCCACCAAATAGAATATCCCAAAAACAATTTCGTGTTTTTATTTTTGGTAAAAGTAAAAAAACCTATCATATATCCCTTAGAAATTATTACACACTAAAAAACAATCAAATTCATCACAAATCAAAAGTTACTTTAAAGGGATTAATGTAGTATAAATATTGTTGAAATAATCGTCCAAGTAACGAATATAATAAACGTAAATCCACCTTATACAAAACTTATTGGATATTATATATCATGGGATTTTTTTTAGTATTAGAAACTTTTTTGAGAAAATAGGATTGGGAGGCATTTTATTAATACAAAAAATCAAATTGTATCAAGCTCCAGTTCAACATGATTAAAACCAAGCCTTTGAGCAGTTCGCAAGCCAAGCCTACCAGCAAACGCTTCCCCTATATCAATCGAACAATTGACCCCCTCACGCCGCACCGCCACAGTTCGTAATTTAACAGTATCAAACATTTAAAACTTCTCGTTATTATGGTGTCTTACCTTCCGACAGGGTGATGATATGGCATATTTGCTTCTATATGTTGATGATATTATATTAGCTACCTCTTCTGATAGGTTGCGTGAGAGGTTCATATCTCAATTACAAACTAAGTTTCCTATGTCTGATTTGGATCCTCTGAGTTATTTTCTAGGGATTGCGGTGACCCGTACTCCGTCTTACATGCTACTTTCTTAGCAAAAGTATGCACAGGAGATTTTAGAGCGTGTGGGTTTGGCCTCTTGTAAACTTGCAGCAACTCCAATTGACACTAAGTCCAAACCTAGTGCAAATGCAAGACCACCTTTTTGGGATCCTACTTTGTATTGTAGTTTAGCAGATGCTCTTCAATATCTCACTTTCACTAGGCCAGATGTTACCTATACGGTACAACAGGTGTGTCTATTTATGCATGATTCCCGGGAATCTCAATATGATGCTTTGAAACGCATTTTGCGTTATATTCAAGGTACCATTGATCATGGCTTACATTTATATCCGTTTGCTTCTCATCGTTTGATTACTTATACTGACGCTGACTGGGGAGGTTGTCCCTATACCCGTCGTTCACATTGTGTTATTGCTGCTTCCTTGGGGACAACCTCGTTTCTTGGTCATCTAAGCGTCAACATATTTTGTCTTAATCGATTGCAAGAATCAGAATATCGAGGCGTCGCAAATGCGGTCTCTGAGGCATGTTGGCTTCATAATCTTTTACTTGAGTTACATTGTCCTCTTCGACAGACTACTATTGTTTATTGTGACAATGTCATCGCTATCTACCTTTCTGGCAACCCGATACAACACCAACGCACCAAGCATGTGGAGATGGATATTCATTTTGTTCAAGAAAAGGTTGTTTTGAGACAAGTTCGGGTTCTCCATGTTCCCTTTAGATATTAGTTTGCAGACATTTTCATAAAAGGCCTACCACGAGACTTATTCTTTGATTTTAGATCCAATCTTAGCTTACGAGCTCCTCTCGCTATGACTGCGGGGGTGTGATAGATATTATAGTTATAATAATATTTGTCGCAGAATAGGATAATATATATATATATGTATATATATATGTATATATATATGTATATATGTATATATATATATATATGTATATATATATATATATATATATATATTGTATCCTTATCGTACTAGGATAACGAGTCTTGTAAAACTTTATATATATTGATCAATGATACACACTCCAGATTAAGGAATTTTTCCGAAATCTAATAGTGTCCATTGTCCAATAAAGCCCATCTTATATAATGTTGGAGCTAGAGTTTTCATGATTGAGGTAACCTAAACGCATCTGGCCTGGCATAGCTAGAGTTTTCATAATTGAGGTAACCTAGACGCATCTGGCCTGGCATAGCTTCAAATTAATGGGTTGGCTTCTTAAAATAAAGAACACTTTGCCTTTTAAAAATTGAAACACCTACTAAGTTTTCCTATCAGAAGCTTTTGAAAGTTTTGTAAAATTTCATCTCGCTTTTACTTTGAATTCATGCATGCTTGGTGAAAATGCTAACGCTTGTGTACTAAAACTATCCAAACTGTTTCTTAACTGCATGATCTGTGTTCCAAACAAGTTCACTTTAGAGGTCACCTCATTTTGAGTAGAAAAATAGATGAAGGCATCAAGCTAGAGTGTTAATGACAAAACAATCATTTAATGGTACATAAGTGAAGACTACACATAGTATTCTATCAAAAAATATAATGAAATGAAAGATTACGTACTCCCTCCATTTTTAAATACTTGCTCCATTTCTCCATATGTGGAGTTTTTGGAGAAATTGGAGAAAGTAATAAAATATGGAGGTAGTGGGGTAGGTGGAAGAATAAAAAATTGTAAAAAGCAAAAGTAGTTGAGATAATTGGAGGAGAGAGAATATGAAATTAATAAAATATGATTTTTGTTGGGTTTACTAGTTGAGAAATGAATTAAATATTATAAAAGCTTTCTAAATAAGAAAATAGAGCAAATATTTAAAAATGGTCGAAAATAAAAAGTGAAGCAAGTATTTAAAAACGGAGCGTGTATGATATTACGAGGAATTGATGATAATCAATTTTGTTTAACCTACTCAAAAACCTGCCGACTATGAGCCTCCCCTAACCGTATAACCGACCGAAAACGTACTATAGATATTAGTACGATGCGTTTCAATTGTTTTATATCTATTACACATCGTTTCGAGACATATGAGTGAACTTGTCAAACTTAGTTGGTATAGTGGGCCCCGAATGAGCTAACTGGGCCAGCAGTTGTCGCATATGGACTTTCACAGCCCAAACAATCCGTACAATTTATACCACTCTTTGTAATTATTTATAGCTAGACCCTATGGTAGGGAACTATCCCTATACCCCCACAAAACACATCGTACCATTACTCCCCACAAAGGCCACAATACACCCTACTATCCTAAGTAAAAAAAACTGTCAGTAAACTCCCTCACCCCACACACACAAAAAAAAAAAAACTTTCATTTCATCTCAATTTTTTTTCATTTTCTCTCTCCATTTTCTCTCGCATCTAAAGCTCTAAAACTTCAACAATGACAGATTTCATAGACGAAATCAAACAATTGAAGCAAATTTCACCAAAAAAAAAAAAAAAACAAGCGGAAATCAAAAGAGTAAGTATTAATGTTCATGTTTATAGCAAAAAAATAAATAGACATAAATACAAACCCTAATTTTTTGAGAATTTGTTTGTGATTGTGTTCCGAGAAACAAATTGATACTTCAATCGCTGAAAATGTATCAATGTAAGTGTTTATGTTAATTATTGATCAATTTCAAAGCGACTATTTAATTTCGAATAATTAGTAATATTTTTTTTTTGAGGCAAATAATTAGTAATATTAACATATACTTGTTTCAATTTAATTTTCGGTTCGGAAAAATCTATTTCAGAGAAGAAAAACAATGATTCTTCAAAAATGTAAATATATATTTACTCGAACTTTTAAAATTTACAAATATTTCTTCAAAAAATTTATTTATAAATAAATATATAATGTAAAAACAGTGATGATGAAACACCTCTACATAAAATTAGAAAAAGAAAAAAAAAAGTGAGAAAAAATGTCCTATTGTAGATCCAACACTTTTAAAAGATATACAAGCATCGAGTGTTGCAGTTGAAAAAATAATATCTCGAATGCATAGGTAAATTGAACAATTACAAAGCACTATACGTTCATTTCCATATAATGAAATTATTCACGTGTTTACCTATAATTACATGTTAATATGTATTCATTAACATATTCTAATTTGATTTTTTTTTAAATATGTGCTAATGATTAGTATAAAATATTATGAATGCATACAAAACTTGAAATACCATTCATTTAAATGTTAATTAATAGTTTATATATCTGCTTTTACATTTATTAATGTGTTCATGATTTTAAAATATAATGAACATTTCTACGCACATATATGAACATTTATAAAATGCATAACAAACAAAGCTGGATTGTAATTTTTATACTTCCTCCGTTCTTTTTTTTATTGCACCATAAGCTGGATTGTAATATATGAACATTTATTAGTATAAAGTGTTTCACGCTTGTCAATGCATTACTTTGGCTATTAATATCTTTAATTATACTTTTGTGAAAATTATAAAAAATTGATATTTGAAAAGTATATTTCAAGACGAATGTAACTAGATCCCACATGACTATGTTTTTCCTAAAGGATAAATCACAAAAGATGGTCAAAGAAGATAAAGTGAATAGTGTAAAAGTCCTTATGGTGCAATAAAAGAAAAACGGAGGAAGTACCATTTTAAGTGAAAAGAAGATAGTATACCTACGTATAACTCAAGATACACTTTTTTTTTTTAACAAACTCAAGACACACATTCATACATAATTAAAAAAGTATGTTCAAATATAGATAACTAAATGTTCATAAATATAACGCTTAGTTATACTTATACATTCTTATCATAAAATAAATGAAGTATATATAAACCATCAATTCAACTTTGAAATTTCTTAAAAAGCTGGGCAAAAAGAGAACAATAAGTCGAAAATCTAGGTTTGTGCCTTTAAAGCTAACATTTTAAGTAAAATTTAATAAACAAGTTATAGTATTTAGTGTTCAATTTTGTAGCACATAATGTTCAATTATATAACACTTAATGTACTGTTTATTTTAATAACAATTCATTTTCATTAACATGTAGGCTAAATCACAAGGTTGGGGATGCAAATTGCAATACACTGCTCAACTAATGCTATTGAAGAAAAACCATGAGTCTAAGAATAATAGAATAGCATCAAGAAGATTTGCAAAGGCATAATATAATATGTTCACTTATGGATAGATATATGTCCATAGCTGGTTGATAAAACTTATACTTCGTAGATATTATTTGTTAATAGAATTACTCTATGTGATTAACTATTTAATTTTATACGTTTAAAGTTTGATACGGAGTAGATATTATTTGTTTATAGAATAATTCTTACAATTTTATATGAAAATTGCGGATTTTATGTAAAGTATTATGTTAATCAATTTTGATCATTCACAAAAGCTAAATGATTCTTTACAAAAACTTAATGATCATTTTTAAAAACTAAATGCTCAATTACAAATACTAAAATATTCACTTATAGAAGATTTTAAAAAAAATTAATATTCAATAAGAAGAATAGTACTTAATAACAAGGCAAAAGCTAATGAGCGCCCCCGGGGCGTTAGATAAGAGAATTAAAGTGCAAATATTAGAGTAAAATTAACATTAATTGCACCGAACGACGCATGATTTTGTCATGAATTCCTAACTTAATACTATTTCAACCAATATAATTTAACCTTATCTAACGCCCCGGGGCGCTCGTTAGCAAGATCCTAATAACAAAAGGTTAAAGATATTCTTATAAATATTAGAGCCATTTGAGCATTTATAGGAATTTTTACATTTTTGGAAGATAATGGGAGGAAGTTGAGCACTCGATCTTTTGAACACTAGTAGCAACTTGATTATTTGCTTGACCATATAATTGGAATTTGAACACATTTCATAAACTTCATCAGCAGTTTTAAATTGTTTCGTTCCCCACTAACTCAGACTTACTTGCTTCTTCAAAAATAATAATATCCTTTTTTCCCACTGCAATAATGTAACATGTAATAAATTACATTAGCAATAATGTTCAATTATAATGATGCATTTGGTCAATTACAGTTGAATTACCAAATGTAAAACATAAATGATCATCTATCGTCATATAACTGAACATTATTTCTGAAACTACAAAATAGTGATAATCATTAAAAAAAGTCACATGTACAACATATAATTCCATAAACACAAGTATATATATAAATGAACATTTATAATTACATAAATGAACATTATTACAACAGAACAAATATAAAATATATTCACTAGTTAAAATGTATATGAGCATTTATAAAACAATGAAAATAATTGAAATTCACATGTACAACATAAGTATTCAAATACAACTACAATAAACATATACAAGTATTTTAATACATAAAAAATACATTAAATATAAATGAACATTCACTGTTACAGAAGTGATCATTATTTTAACTAAGATTATTTTTTTACGACGCACAAAACTGGTAAAAATAATCGAATAGCAAAATTAGAACAACAATATATACTCATACGAAACGCACAAAACTGGAATAAACAACAATAAAAAATACAAAAAAAAACCCCCCAATTAGATGAACAATACAAACTAAATTATTAATCAACTAATAACAACAATAACAAAACCAAAGCATTATCAAAATTAAAGTCAATACAACAAAAACTATGAAATCAGATCATTATAATCATCCAATTACAATTGTAAAACAAAGCATTATCAAAACAATTGACTAATTATCATTAAAAGTAAGAATTACTTATATTGATCTCCATGAAAAAAGAGAGAGAAAATTGAAAAACAATAAATCAAAAAAAAAAAAACCAGGAGAGAGAAAATGAAATTGGTGAAAAAGAGGAGAGAGAAAATGAAATTGGTGAAAGAAATGAGAGAGAAAATGAAGTCTATAAAAATGTTTATATACAGTACTTATTTGAATGGAAGGTAAAGAAGGGAAGGAAAAAAAATTATGCAAAAATAGCTGCTTGATAAAACGACGTAGTATAGAAAGGGGGTGTAGGGAAAGCTACATACACTAGAGTCTAGTTAAAAATTTGTACACTCTTTGCTCCTCACATGATTCAATCCTTCTCACTATTCTATCCACTTCAAAGTGTCAACAAGGTTTGTTTATTCTTTTCTTTATTTCAATCAAAATTTAACAAGATTATAGTATTCATTAGCTATTAATTTTCGCTAAAAAAAATATAATATTCTCTTTCTCACAAAATAACTGCCACTTTGGAATCTCAACAAATTTTGTGGCAAAATTGCAAGACAAGCTAATTTGGCAGTTAAATAATTAAAGTTTTTGATGCTAATGCTAATCACAAACTTTCTTTTGGGATGATTAACCATTCTCTTGTGTAATATTCTCTAAAATTTCTAATCTATTTTTGTTAACATGTTTCAAATAGAGACTTTTTTTTTTGGTACAATTGTTAAATTGATTGTCATGGCAAATACTTGTTTTACAACCCAAAAAGATCACATAATAAAACTTGCTAGTTATCCATGCAAAAGAAAAAAATAATAAATAAAAATAAATTAATTAATTAAACTTGCTAGTTTTGAATTTTTACTTAGATCAATTTATTTTCAATTACTAACATTTAACATGATTTTTAGATCATAGGTTGGAAAATCCTTTCAAGCTCTATGGTAAGGTCTTTGTTAAATTCTAAGGTAAGGTAGGGTCAAGTTTTGACTTATCCATGCCTAATTTCAAATAATGAAACTCCATTGACAAAAGTCCCCTTTAGAAGAAAGTCTTGCTGAATAACACATGATTAATCCTTGTATGAGACTATGAGAGTAATGAGAAAAATAAATGGTACGATATGTCTAGCTAGTTTTTATACATGATATAAGTTATAAAAGGTGACCTTCGTAAATCAATTGAGTATTTTGTTAATAAATCAATTAATTAACACCTAGGTGAAAAGATAGCTTGATTACGGTAATATACTTATTTTGTGATTTACGTGAAAAGTTTGTTTTGAATAAAGTATATTTACTCATATTTATTTAAATTTGATTTTCTATCACCTTTAGCTATGAAACATAAAAATACTCCGTTAACAATACTTAACCCCTAAGTAGTAATTATTACTTTATTAGGTCAAAATGAAAATTTTATTTTAATACAAAGTACATTTTATTATTATGTTAGAAAACTGATACTTCATATTATTATACTTGTCAAAACAAAAATCGTTTTCAAAACCTTTATTCAACTAAATATCCTATTACTCAAAAATTAATATTGAAGTATATTGTACATATGTCCTAATACAATGTTGGCCTTTTTGTTTTTAACAATAAAGATACAACCTTGTTTTTGTTACATATTTGACGTTATTTATGTGACGATTCCGATCACCATCAAAATAGATTGAACTAATTTCTAGAGATGGAGGTAGTAACAAATATCAACAAATGACTATGAATACCAATGAGTTCTTGATTTAGTGGCAAAAATCAAAGGTTTGTGTATGATAATATCATGATCCAATTAATTTTGTGCAATCTCAAAATTACTAATAAGTGCAATCTCAAAAATAACAATAAGTGATTCAATTCATAAGGGCATCATATATATAAGCAATTTGAAAATTAAACAAACAACACAATAGTAATTAACTAAAAACATCATTAGATTTAATTTCATTTAGACTTGAAATTAAAAATGGGTACAAACATTAGATATATAAAAATCTAGGTTAGTCAGAAATATATGTGACACACCCCATACTAATACTATAACTATAATGTAGTATAATTCAAATAAAAACACCCATCAATCAATCCTAATTTTTTTCACTAGGAAAGAACATCAGGCAAACATCGTTCTAAACACGAGTATCAATCAGCCCTATTAAAAAACCCAATAATTGGGGTAAAAAAAAAGAAAAAAAAAAGAAAAAAGAAAAAAAAAGGGTATTAAAAAATTTACATCTTAACTCCAATTTCTTAAAAAAGAAAGAAGAAAAAAAAAACTTATAATTAAAATATGAATTATTGGGTGTTTAAAAGAGAAATAATAATAATCAAGGAAGAAAAAGAGGAAGATGACTAGTAGTAGAATCAGACCATTGATGATGATAAACGGCTGTAGTTGATTGACTCCAATAATCTTGATGATCAACGGTTGAGCTTTCAGGAACTTCATATAAACTTTGATTATTATCAAATTTATCATCATTGTTATTATTACCAGCCGTTGGATGCCAATCTAGTGTAGTAAACCCCACATTACTTCCTCTGTTCTGCAACAAATCTTCAATCCTGACCGTCGGATCCACCACCAGATCAATGGATCCCCCAATCTTATCCTCTTCTAGATGGACCCCACAAATCTTCTCCATATTCCACTCTTGAACTCCCTGATGATTCTGCAGGTATTCACTAAACGACGCCGTTCCATCCCCTTCTTCAACCATCACACTGTTATTTTTATCATCATGGTTGTTGTTATTATGATTTTCATTATTGTTAATTAAATTCATGAATCCACCAATATCACCGGAGAACAGATTCGGCTCAAGTTCCGACGACATCCCGAAATTCTCAACCTCCGGAATTAGAAACAACGCGCCGCCGTTGACGGTGGGCGGCGTAGAGGAGCTTTCACTGCTAGAATTAGAATTAATGTTATTATTATTATTCTGAGCAGTTTTTTTAGATGAGATGGAAATCATTGACGACGACTTAGGCTTTGATGATCTTTTAGACTTACGACAGCCTCCACCGACGGGGACATTACGAAGAACACCGCCTTTAGTCCAGTACCGACGGCAGTTCTTACAAAAATGACGTGGTTGAGAGAGATTGTAGTTGTTGTAGTAGCAGAATTTCGTGTTTAATGAGTCACACCTCGGACACTTCAACGCCGCCGCCTGCGGCTGTTGTTGTTGGTGATGTTGCTGTTGTTGATGATGTTGTAGAATTTGGTAGTTAGTACTACTATTGATGTTATCTTGGTCTTGGTGGTTAATCCGCCTTAGCAACAGCCTTCCGCCAACAAGGCTGTTGCTGATTGATTGTACGTCTTGCATTTGTGACGTAATCTAAGAAGAACAATATGAAACGGAGAGAGAAAATAAAAAAACACTATATAATTGATTATGTTATGTTATGTTATGGGTTTGTTTGTTTGTTTGGAGGGTAGTTTTAATGGAGTGGAGTTGGGTAGGGTGAAGAGGAGAGAGAAAAGAAAACAGTTAAGAAAGTAATGATGAGTAATAGATGATGATAGTATAGTAGTATGAGAGTATGAGTTAGAATGAAGAAGAGTGGGACTGGGACCGTACAAGCCGTGAATTGAAGAGCGGGGAGGACACGTGGACGGGTGGATGAAGAGGAGGGGCATATGATGTCCAGAAATCAAGGGTTGTCGAGTTGTCGGCCACCTAGAATGGGTGTGATCTTAATAGAAATGGATGAGAGTTTGGCACGTAGGCTGTTTTGATTCGTGATTTGTAATGGGGTTTTTAGGTTCATGCAATATGCAATTATGTACGACTAATGCAATATATCTTCGGATCTTCCACTATGGAATGGTAGTGTGGTACGAGTACTTACGATCTTACATAGTTACATGAACTATTTGCTCCCGTCATCCATTTTATGTGGGAGTGGACGAAGATACGAGTAAGTTGTATTATTTGTATATATTAGCTCGTTTTTATTTAGTTGACACCTTTTTATTATTACGCTTGTCAACGCATTATTTTAACGATTAATATTTTTAATTCTTGACATTGTAAAATTATAAAAAGTGGATAATAATAAAATATACATTGAGACGATTCAAACAATATCCCACTTAACTATATTTTATTGTAGTTATTAATCACAAAAGCTAAACAAATTGTAGTTTATGAATAGTGTATGATTGTATGTAAAAATTAAATGGTGTCAACTAAAAAACGGAGAAAGTATATACATAGGATATTTGTAGACCATTGTCTTTGTCGTCTTGTCTTGTAATTTTATTTCTAAGGGGATAATCATATGGGTATAGTCACATATGGATTCAACCTAGATACATGTGAATTAATAATCTGGCTACATATTTGAACTAGCTTACTAATCTGGTAGAGATGGATAGAAACTCACCTTAGAGTCACACAAGTTTGATGTATTAGGGGATTTGGGGTAGTGTCATTTCCGTACCTTTTCCCCTCTACATACCCTCAAAAGTTGACCTCGTGACACTTCGATAAGGACAACCTTCTTACCAAAAATTAATTAAAAAATATTAGAGTAATTTAGCTTTCGGAATAAAGATTAATAACCTTAATTAAAATTGAGATTTACATGTAAAGGTGACACATGATTTAATAATAGATGTAATGTAAGCAACTTTGTACAATTATGATGCTCGAAATTCATGGGTTAACCTAAACTCGAAGTATTGATCAGTTATATGAAATAATATTGTTTAGGCGTATGAATATTAAGTCTGTCCGAATTATTGATCTTAGCCTAATTGCCTTAATTGATATATTAAGGGGGCGAGGGGGATAATAGACTATAACATTCATTAAAATAAGGGATTTTTTTTTTTGAATTACAACTATAATTTATTTTGGTTAAATTTCTAATTTTATATTTTTGTTAAAAAATTATTTACTTCGTTTTATATACTTGTATATAGTAACACACGAGAAATAAAAGAGTATCTAGTTAAATTAAATATGGAATCGATTTAAACCTAACCAACACTATTGAATTACAACTCAAATTTTATGACAAATATAAAAAAAAAAAATGTCTAAATTTATCAATACCCAAATATCCAATAACATCTTGGGTCAAAATCAACCTAACCTATTATTTTACTCAAATGTTTCCAATACCATTACATGCATGTACGTACAATTCATGCAAAATGTAGCTATTGGTATAATTGGATATTATATTTATTTTTGTTACACGGTTACACTTAAACATCTTTTATATGGTTAGATTTTGTTATGAACGACTATTTTGTCACTACTTGCAATTTGGAATGTATGAAGTATATTTTATACTTGTATTTTTTATTTTTTTATGACTACTTTTATTATCTTGTTGTAACAAGAATATATTTTTAATGAATTGATATTTAGAAATACACTACATACTTTAATTAGAATGTTTATTTATTGTTTTGCCCTTCACGCTCCTTCTCTCGCCCTCTTCTTTTTTCTCACCACCACAAAGATTGATTAGCCGCCACACACCATCACATACTTGACCAATCCCCCCCCACCTAATCGCCCACTTTTCTAATTGACCGTCATGACCAACAATCCCATGCCACTTGACCTGCTAATATGATAGTACCACAGACCATCATGTAAAACCATCAAATTCAATACTTTGGGGTTGTTAGTTGCTCACTAGACGGAAAATAAATAGCAAATTATTCATGGATACACCTATTGTATGTGTATCGGACCTTACTAGAATAATTAACAAGTTGTAAGTATTTTTGTTTGCGAATCTACTATACAAAAATAAGAAAACTAAATATCCTACATAAGTAATAACCTACTGTTGTTGCCTTGTTGGTCAAGCTGAACACGCTTAGCTTGAACCCAAAATATTAACCCGAGTCCAAAATCATTTGATTCAATCTGAACTCCGCAGACCCATACTTGGATATGTTGCTTATACACTCCTATGTTACTTTTCATTAAAAGTTTAGAGAAGTTCAAATTTGGACCAAAATAACAAAAGCATTACGGTCGGGCCTAACTCGGGTCAAGCCGAAGCTACAGTACGTGATCCGCACTAAATCGGTCATAACTAAAAGTTATTTGGTGGAGAGTCTTAATGCCCCTTGTTCCGGACTATGGTGTACAATCCTTTCATGATTATTATCATAGCTAATTGTCAATGTTCACAACGTACAAATAATCCACTTTTAGCCTAAGGAGCTATGTTTAATCATTGTCATAGCTAATTGTCAATTTTCATAAGGTACAAATAGAGCTCCTTTTAGCCTAAGTAGCTATGATTATTACTACTTACCACTTTAATATCTTTGGTACAGTATGCCAAAAAGGATATATTTTTCAACATGCACCCTTAATGCTTAATGGTATTTAGTGATAGTTTACTTATCATCAATACTTATTCTTCTGTAAACTTTTACTCCTTATGTCCCACACCGTCAAACATTGCACACATGCCAATGCATTAGTTTGACTTTATTTTTATATAATTAAATATTAATGAAAATTATTTTTAAAATTATATTTTGAAACTTTATATAAAACCGATCTAACAACATATTTTATGATAAAATATACTTTTATTATGTTAGTAAAAATTATGGTCAAACCTAATGCATAAATAGTGAAAAAAAGTCCAACGTCTCATGTTTTATGAGATGGAGGGAGTATTATATTACATCTACAAAGAATGCAATCGAGCAGCAGATTTTTTGGGTCATTTGATGCAAGCTCGCTCACTAGGATCGTAATCCTTTTGTAGATGGTAAGTTTTATTGTTTTATTCATTGTGATAAGTTAGGATTTAGGCTTGAAAGAAGATTGTTCTAACTTTTTGTGTACTTTTCCTTAAAAAAAAATTAAAAAAAAATAAAAATAAATTGAGAATATTTATAACATCAACTTCAATTCATAATCACACAAGACTTGATGTGTTTAGTTAGAAATTCACTACCTTATAAGTCAAATCCTCCCAACTACATGCATCTTCGTTTGTTCTTGGACGTGAGGATTACTTACCCTTTCCCTCACTTTCAAATGCATACGAAGTATCATTGTATCTCACAAATACTAACCATAAAAAATCGTAAGAATTGAGGTATGATCAGAATCCTTCTTTTTGCCTTATACTAAGTGCTGAGTAATAAAATAAAAACTTCAATTGATAGCCGGTCGAACGAAGAAAAATAAAGCCATTGGTGCGACGGTGGCTTGACTTAAAATTCAATTGACATGATCACACCATGTTGAAAGGTCTCCTTATCTTGAAATTGTACACTCCTCCATCCATTCATAGGGATCATCAAATAAAAATTGATCAAGATGACATATGACATATGGCATTGCTTGTATGAACAGACTATTGATGTAAAAAAATCATGCCCACATGCACATGGGACGGTATGTGGGGGCTATGCCCTTAACTTGTAGGTCTTCTGGTATATGTCCACATCTTTCCTATACCTTACCCTATACATTCATACTCCAATGATATGTGCACAAATTTCCTTTCTTTGGCTAAGCATTCCTTTTGGATTATCTTTTCTTGTTGCATCTTATGTTCATTTTCATTGGTATTTGTTTTCACACCATATCATTTTTACTTCCATCTTTCTCTATCCTAGAAGATTGGAAAAGATATGTGCTATATCAACTATTCGCGTCGCTTAATTGAGTCGCTATCTACAGTTTTTGGGTTTGTTTCCTAAGCAACCATTATTGTTCATTTGAATTATTCTTAAATAGTGTTATATATAAAAATGTTTGCAAGGCACATTGCGAGCTTATTTAGAGTCCTTGCCCAATATCAAAATAGCTAGCTAGAAGTCAAATGTAGTACGGGCAGGGTGAAAATTGAAAAACTTCGAATCAAAGAACCAAGGTATAAAAAGGTGAAAACCAATTATACTATCACCAATTCTCCATTTAATTATTGTAATTTAGTGAAATTTACGCAATTCTTCAAATGAACTTTACCTCCCTCCCTCATTTTTTTTTAACTTTTTTCTAGCATGTATTTACTTCTAAAGGTTTACTTTATTCTAGTTTTGACAAGCACATTTTACCCTTTCTTCCCACATTCAATTGACTTGACTTATTGAATTAACATTTATATAGCGGGGGCGAACCCAGGGGGTTTGACAGGAGCCCCAGCCCCCTATGGCCCAATTTCGCCCATTAAGGGAGAAGGAAAAAGTTGGTATTATGCTTGCCAACAAATTAAGAGAGAAGGCAAGCTCGGTACTTGTAGTTTTGAATTTCTAGCTTCACCTCTGATTTATAATAAGTGGATACATTTAAATTTAAAAAATAAAAAAATAGGAGTAACAAATATGGTGACATGAGTAATAATTACTTGAATTGATTTATTTGCAACACTAGTAATAAATTACTTTGGAAAAAAAAAAGAGGACAAACAATTGTGGCACTTGTAAAAATGTAGTACATATAAAATGGACGTTACTATCTAAACCCACAAACTTAACATCAACATGTGTGGCTAAGCCCTCCCTCTATTACGGCCTAGTCGGTTGTTGGAGTGACACCCACTGAAATATGGGCCCTCATTTGTTGTCATGGGCTTGGGCCCGCACCACCACCCATTTTATTAGGATCGTATTCGTTTTTACAAATGGGTTAGGTTAGATTTATATGGGTATAGTACTTGTTTACTATGTTTAGGAGTGAAAATAATTAGCTTTGTATGAAAAATGCTTGTCTTCTTCAATGAATATCATGGAAAAAGGAATACTATAATTAGCTAATTTTAGAAGTAACTATCAATGGCTTTCTTTATTTTGGATGTTATCTCTCTTATAATTATTTGAGGGGTTTTTTTTTTTCG